CATGTTCCTAATTCCTCATAGATTGATTTGCATACACAGAAGGGGAGTTGATTGGAAGACGGAAAACACACGTGACCCTGTTTTCAATTTGGTAAACGTGTTTGAAAACATTCATCGAGTTGATACCATTGTTTTGCTGGCGTATCAACTAAACATTCAAACGGTTATGCGAGCCGATATGATAGACGTGACCTCCAGCTCTTATTTACGGGGTTGCTCAAGGAAAGTATATCCAAAACAACAGGTATATTGATTCCACAGCCTACGAATGGCACTCAGTATGAATGATTTGCAGCAGGATCGCGTAGCAACTTTTACACGTCTAATGTGGAGTTATACGGCCTAAAATGGGGTTTTGCCTTGGAAGAAAAATNTGTGATCTGTCATTGTTACTCAATGTCTTTCTGTTCTATCAGTAGTTATACTTTGTTTGCGGAATTCAACTAATTCCATGATGAATCAAGAAATGCTATTCTGAAGTTTGCACAGAGCAAACCAAACCAAACCAAACCAAAAATAATGAATAGTTTGGTTGTGATTTGCATAACATACAACTGTTTAGAGAAAAATATTAATTTTTGTCTATTTCTTGCGTTAGTTATGAAGGGTTTAGTGCAAAAGGCAACTTGGACGCGATGCATCCTAATATAGGAGATAGACATTATTAATTGTTTCTATTGATCTACGAAAGTATCGTTGGTTGAGATCGCGAGCAGAGAAAAGCAGTTTGTGAATGTTCCGTTTCCGGGACGTGTGACTTCCTGTTTTCGGTTGAAAGGATTGTGCTTATGCTAATCTTGGAGTTCAGTTTTATTGTGGATGACGGCATCGAGAATGATTGAACCGCTGGCTTCTGGGTCAAAAGTGATGCATTTAACGGGAAAGTGGTCACTTGCAGTGTTAAATAGTGCTTGTGAACACTTGTGATCGTTTTCGTGGTACCATCTATAGGGCTTTTGAATTGCATCATGTTTTGTTTGATGTCTGCAAAGGGCGGCACGGTTGTACTTGAAATAGTCATCCTCGTTACCATGTTGGCTCCAGCCAGATTAAATTCTCTGACGGTTTTGAAGAACCGACTAATCAATTCGCCCAATTATTTGACCCCATATTTGGCAACTAACACAAATCGGAATAAAGAAGTCAGAAACATGGGTTTGCACATTATATCCATGGTCATTTCGCTGAATCTGTACACGTGCATAGTGCAGTCAAAGTGATTTTCATATAGTCAGTGAGATAACTACCGTGAAATGAAGACATGATTGCTAATCACAACACACAACACGACACAGTAACACAA